CTTTCAGCAAACCTGTGGCCCCCCCCCCCCCCCACTTTTGCAAACAGAACAGTGTGAGAGGGGCTCCAGGAGCCTAGGTAGATGTTAGGTGGGAGGAACAGATGGATCCGTCAACTCTGAACTCCAATAACGTGGCATGCACAAGCAAGATTTCTGTGAATAGGCAATAGCAGCATAATTTGCCCAAGGATGTTGCAAACCAGTGTCTCTGGGCCAAGAAGAGATGTTCCTCATTGCAGGCATGGCCTGGCTGACTGTGCAGTGGGTGCTGGATCTGGAAGTGTTGGTGTGTAGCAAACAGTAGTTGCATCCTGCTCAAACCGGTCTTTCCAGTGTCTCCTAGGGGTGCTGCAGCTGCAGCATATCTCCTGGACAATATTGTCCTCTAATGTGATAATTCTGGAGAATGTAAGACAAGAAACAGGATTGACTTGAGGTTGTGAAGCTGGCAGATAAGTTAGGCCATTTCTCACCTCGTTTTGGGGGTCATGGGCATCAGTTTCCTAACAGTCTCTTATCTCCTGCAGCTGACATAATGTACACCGGCACGATCGACTGCTGGCGGAAGATTGCCCGCGATGAGGGTTCCAAGGCATTTTTCAAAGGTGCTTGGTCAAATGTACTCCGAGGAATGGGTGGTGCTTTTGTCCTAGTCCTGTACGACGAAATCAAGAAGTACACATAAGTTATTTCCTGTTCTGAACTGGCATGTTGTGTTATGTAATCTATGACCATTCATGGACTGTATCAAAACGGTCTAGTTACTAATCAGTGGCAACTGGTATTTATACAGGTTGGCATGGGGCAGGGGTGACTGCCTGCCCTGTCTTCATGAAGTCATTCCTCTAACGGGACTCAAACATGGTTTCTATTTCAATCGCTCCAGCTTAAAGAGTATGAAAAAATAAAAGTCTGAAACCAACTTCCCTTGTGTTGTGTGTGTTTGTTCTCCCAGCAGCTCTAGTGAGGTGGTTCTGCACAGTGATTGTGGAGAAGGTGGGATCCATCCTACATGCCTTGCTCACTGCTAGCTATGCCGGGCCTCCTGCAGGCAAATAACACTGCCTGTCAAGAAAGCTATGTACTATTGCCTCCTAATGGAGCCTTAGCAGTAAGTGCTGGAGTCAGGACTGGCAGCTCAGATTTTTTTTTTTTTTTTTTTCTTCCCAGCTGGCCTCTCCAGAGGCCCCCCCAGTAGCAGGAGCTGATATACTGCCCATATTCCACCAGTGCCTGCTTTTGGCCTAAGTGCTCCCTTGTGCTGATGCAACCTCACCCTCCTTCAAATCACCAGCCCTCCCAGCTGAGCTAAAGGCCTGGGAGACCGGAGAGATGTCTAAGGAGTATTTGCCGTCCTCTGGAAGAGCAAGGAGATAGGATCATGTGCTCTGGCCCAGAATGCAAGCTACCTACTCAGGCATGTTAAAACCCAGCCAGAGAAAATAAGTGCAGGTAATTGCTAAGCCTCTGGCTAGACTTGCCCTTATGTGAGGTTTTGGGCTGCCCAGATGCAGTAGCTGAGCAAAGACAGCTGGTTCTGTGCCTGGGCTGCCCTTAACCAGGCAAGGAGCCAGGTCTCCAGCCCATCACTTACCTCTGAGAGCTAAGCTCTCCCCAGTCCCAAATTTGTGAGAGGGAGGGAAATTCCTTCCTGCTACTGGAACAATCTGGGGAAAGCACTCCAAGCCTTGGCAACGTGGGTGGCTTGGCTTTTATCCAGGCTACTCCATGGCTCTGTGAGCTGCCTGAGTGAAGCTGTTCAGTCCAGAGAGCAGGGGGGGAAAGAACGCTCTCCCAGTCCAGGCTCTCTGACCTCAAGATGAGGGCCTCCCCTCCTTTGAATAATGCTTTTTGGCTGCTCAGGCTTGTTCAAAGCAGTTGCTCTCAGTCACTGAAACTGATCTCAACCACTAGCCAAGGCTGACAACAAGCACTTGGGTTGCAAAGGGCAGTAGTTGCTTTTGTTGCTGAAATCAGCTCCAGGTGAGCTAGGTGTGAGAGCGCAGCACCGTCTGACTGCGGCTGGAGTCTGTGTAGTCCAATCTGCGTGGACAGACATCTGCACTCCTGATGGGAGACGGTCTCGTCGGTCAGTGCCGCTGTTTGTTTTGAGGGATCTGCAGGTGGTCGGCAGTGCAAATCCACCTTCCTCTGCTGCACAAAGTGCCCTCAGTGAAACTAGTGGGTGCTGGATCAGGTGAGGGGTGGGAAACCACTGGGGGCTGCCCTGGCCAGGCACCCCTGC